AGGAGAGCCAATGGCCATGATCTGTTTGGATTTCCAGAAGGCCTTTGACAAGATGCTGCAGAAAAGACTGCTAAATAACATAACAGCCCACAGGACAAGGTACTGGCATGGATGGAGAATTGGCTGACTGGCAGAAGGCAGAGAGTTGGGATAAAGGGGTCTTTTACAAAATGGCAGCTGGAGTTCTGCAGCGGTCTTGGGACCACAACTATTCATGTTTTATATATAAACAAACTGGACGAAGGAACTGAGGGCATTGTTGCTAAATTTATAGATGATACAAAGATAGGTGGGGGGATAGGTAGTGTTGAGGAAGCAGGGAAGCTGCAGAACTTGGACAGGCTAAGAGAGTGTGCAAAGTGGCAACGGATGGAGTACAATGTAAGAAAGTGTGAGGTCATGCACTCTGGTGGGTAAAATAGAGGCACACACTATATTCTAAATGGAGAAAGGCTTCGTTCAGGAGTCTCTTAAGATTAACGTGCAGGTTCAGTTGGCAGTTACAATGGAAAATGCGATGTTAGCATTCATTTCAAGAAGTCTAGAATAAACAGCAGAGATGTACTGCTGCAGCCATAAAAGGCTCTGGTCAGACCGCATTTGGAAGATTGAGCAGTTTTGAGCTCTGCCTCGAAGGAGGGAGTCCAGAGGAGGTTTACAAGAACGATCCTGTGGATGAAGGGCTTGTCATGTGAGGAACAGTTAAGGACTCTGGGTCTGTAATCAATGGGATTTAGAAGGATGAGGGTGGATCTGATTGAAACTTACAAAATACTGAGACCTGGATACAGTGGGTGTGGAGATCTTTCCACTAGTAGGAAAGACTAGGACCTGAGGGCATAGCCTCAGACTGAAAGGATGCCCCTTTTGAATTGAATTGAAGAGTAATTTCTTCAGCTGATGGTGATTAATTTGTGGAATGCTTTGCTACAGATACTGTGGAGTCCAAGTCATTGAATATATTTAAGACAGGCAGAGGTTCTTGATTGGTAAGGAAATCAAAGATTATGAGGGGAAAGCAGAAGAATGGGGTTGAGAAATTCATCACTAATGATCAAATGGTGGAGCATATTTGATGGGTGCAATGGCATAATTCTGCTCCTGTATCTTATGATCTTAATGCAGGAACAAGAATAGAAGAACATTGGACCATTCAGCCTGTTGAGCCTATTCCACCATTCAGTTAGATCATGATTCATGTGTAACTTGGCAAGAGCAGCATTAGATGAGTGCTTATTCTGCACATCTGCAACTCTGTGAACAATATCTTATATTTCCTAATCTGGTTTAACAAATTAAATTTTCTTGTTCATTAAGAGTGAAGTGGAATTTAAAGGTTGGGATACTTTGTTACGGTTGGCTAAGGTATTGGTGAGGTTACGTCTGGACTACTGTGCCCAGTTTTCGTCTCCTTGTTTAAGAAACTATGAAAATGCATCAGAGGCAATTTAATGAAAGTTTACTTGACTGATATGCGGGATGGGGGAAGCTGTTATGAGGAAAGTTTGACAATTTGGGAGTTTAGAAGAATGAGAGGTGGACATATTGAAACAGTATTTTGAGGGGACTTGTCATAGTGGATGTAGAAAGAATATTTCTTTTGTTGGGGAACCTAGAATTAGGGAACACAGTTTATAAATCGGGTAAACCATCTTTGGCAGATGAACAGAATTTTTTTTTCTCTTGGCAGATTGAGTCTTTGGAATTTTCTTCCCCAGAGAATGATGGAGACAGCATTGTTGAATATTTTTAAGGCAGAATTAAATAAATTCTTGATGAACAAGGGAATGAAGGGATGACAGCAAGTAGGAAAGTAGAGGGGTCATGACTAGAGCAGCCACGATCTTATTAAGTGGTGCAACATACTCAAAGGGGTCAAATCAATTTTGTATGTTTTGTTTTCAGTTTATTAACTTTATTAATGTTATACTAGTATGTTACATAATATTACTAAATTAACAAAATTACTTACATCTGACTACTGTAAATAGCTGCATCTAATCTTCTCTGTATTCTTCACACAAATGGAATGCAATGGAATGATTTCTTGGAGCTTCTGCTCCGAAGTTAAAGCTTCAGGTTGTGAAATTGTTCTTTCTTTTTATCTCTCTCCAATATATCAATATACTTTTGAAGGTAGGTTGACCAAAGTAAGACACAATATTTTAAATGTGAATTTACCAATTCATTATACAGTCTTAACAGTCTAAACCATCAGTTCTTTTGAGATCAAAGTACCTGATTGATGTTGTTGATAACAAAGTTGCACTTCCAATTCCATCTCCGTCTTTGACTCCACCACATATACAGCTATCACAAAACCTGTGAGTAATGAGCTGTTGGAGTGCTCCCTCGAACAGCATGCAATTCTTTATATAATTTTATTCATTTAATAACTTGATGCCTTACACAGAATCAGCTTAGAACTTCACTCATCACTTCAGGTTACTTGTGTTAAAACAAACTTTGAAACTCTGAAGCAAAAAATGAACTCATTTTCTCTAAAGGCATTCTTTTTTGGGCTGTAAAATTAAATTCAAAGAATTAGATTTCAAAACCTCCACCTCATTTCCTTTTACATACACTAATTTTAGCATTCATTTTAAGAAACTAAGGTCAAACATTGCAGCAGATTGTAAAATGACATTTTTATTTATAGATCCATTCAAATAATAACATGCCATTCTCATTTTTTAAGATCCATTGTTCTAATTTAATCTGTTGAAAAGTCATTTTGAAGGTTTGGAATGTACTATATCGAAATCAGGACTGTTTTTATTAGGTAATAAAAAAAACTCAGTAGTAAATGCTGAAAATACCTGGAGTGCATTTTTCTTCAAGGTTTAACCATCAAAGTAAATATATTCATAAATAATCATTGGATTTCTTAAACATTTCTAAGTACCTTCGTGTGTTTTAGTTAAGTTTCAAAGGGAAAGGTTAAATCTGTGTGGTGAAACCCTAAATGAACACATTAATTTACCTGAAGGATGTAGTATGGAATGTTAAACAACATTCTTTGTAAAACATATTGCGTTCATCACAACAAAACAAAGTTTATAATTATAAGCCAGGTAGGCACATTTTTAATAGACGTGCATATTTAAGGATGATATACCATAGAGTATAATGAATTGCTTTGTGATTCACTATATAAAATAACCTGAAATTCTGAAAGATCTGATATCACATATTATGGAACAAATATTCATAATGATGAAATGTCGTATTTGAACAAGTGCGCATCAAGAAGCCCCAGCAAAACCTGGAGTCGATGGGAATTGGTTGGAGCCATATCTCGCACAAAGGAAGATGGTTGTGGTTGTTGATCAGTCATCTTAGTTCTAAGACACTTCTGCAGGACTTATTCACTTAATGGTAAGATTCAGGGGTGTGTTGCTAAACAAAGAAACCTTGGAGTGCAGGTTTATAGTTCCTTGAAAGTAGAGTCGCAGATAGACAGGATAGTGAAGGCGGCGTTTGGTATGCTTGCCTTTATTGGTCAGTGCATTGAGTATTGGAGTTGGGAGGTCATGTTGCAGCTGTACAGGACATTGGTTACACCACTTTTAGAATATGGCGTTCAATTTTGGTCTCTTTGCTCTTGGAAGGAAGTTGTGAAACTTGAAAGGGTTCAGAAAAGATTTACAAGGATATTGCCAGGTTTACAGGGTTTGAGCTATACGGAAATGCTGAATAGACTGGGACTATTTTCCTTGGAGCGTTAGAGGCTGAGGGTTGACCTTATAGAGGTTAATAAAATCATGAGGGACATGGATAGGGTAAATAGAAAAGGTCTTCTCCCTGTGGTGGGGAAGTCCAAAATTAGAGTCCGTAGGTTTAATGTGAGAGAGGAAAGATTTAAAAAGGGACCTAAGGGGCAAAGGGTGCAAAGGGTGGTGCGTGTTTGGAATGAGCTTCCAGAGCAAGTGGTGGAAGCTGGTACAATTACAACATTTAAAAGGCATCTGGCATGGGTATATGAATAGGAAGGGTTTAGAGAGATATGGTTCAAATGCTGGCAAATGGCATTAGATTAGTGTAGTATATCTAGTTGGCATGGACGAGTTGGACCAAAGAGTCTGTTTCCACACTGTACACCTCTATGACTATTGACTCCGTAAATAGGCAACCAAAGCTCCCTGCCAATGTTCACACCTAACAGTGACCATGCCTGTGGGGCATCATCACATTGGGAATGGGATCTTAAAGCGTAGCAAACAGTAAGGTTTAACAATAAACAGAAAAGTGTCAGTAATTTCAAACTACTGTAAACCATGAAAACGTTTAAATGATTTCAGAAAAATAAACAGTAATGTTGTGTTATTGCTATTTTAATTTAATACAACTCTATTAAACGAAGACTGTTACATTTTAGATTTGGGAGCAGAAATAACGATCTTTGTCAGGGCACCGAGATGTTCTGCGTGACCTCGACTGATTCATCAGGTCTAAAGCGTTAGAGATGTACGAAGTTTTAAGAAGCTGTTAACTTATTTGTAGCGCTGTGGCAGCCAAGAGGTGGAAAAAGTACCAAGTGAGAGGAACGTGCAAGACTTAAGATGTTTACAGCCTCCTCCGTTTGGGTCTTTTTCCCCCCCCTTTCAACTTTCAAAAACGCTTAAATATTCTGAATATATGGAAATAATGTTGCGTGAGGGCAACACGCAAAGTGAGATATCTGAGGGCAAACAGGTTAATGGGGACACCCTACTGTAATGTATCACTTGACTGAGGTGGAGCTAATGAAGAGATTGTTTGGGTTGAAGAGGCAATATCGTCAGAGAGCGATGCAGAGTTGGGACAGTGAGGGAAGTTTTCACCCTGCAGGGAGTTGGTGAGTTTTTTTAAAAAAAAACTTTAAGCTTCCCCATGATTTCATCTCGGTTCAGTTTTTGTGTTTTCCGAAAGCGGCGGGGTAGGCGTATATATATATATATATATATATATATTATAATTTGGACGTGGTTCCCTAATGTGAGTCTCTGACTTTCTTGCAGATTTCGCCGCCTCCCCAGTGTAAAGCAGGTCCATGGGTTCCCCGGAGGGTGCCAAGCTGTCGGTGTGGGTATGCCAGGAGGAGAAGGTGGTGTGCGGGCTGACCAAGAGGACTAGCTGCGCCCAGGTGGTGAGAGCTCTGCTGCGGGATCACCTCGCCCATGCCGGGGACACTAGGCTGCTGCACGCCCCGCCCCGGGATTACTGCCTGGCCGAGAAGTGGAGGGGCTTCGAGAGGCTGCTGCCGCCCGCCACCAAGCTGCTCAGGCTCTGGCTGTCCTGGGGCCCGGAGCGGCGCAATGTGCGCTTCGTCCTGGTCAAGTGGGACGCCCGGCTGCCGCTGCCCGGCCTCTGGAGCGCCGAGGCCAAGGTGGTGCCGAGCAGCAGCGGCGGCGGCGAGGGTCAGCGAGGAGAGAGGCGTCCGGCCGCCCGCTCCGTGCGGGACCTGCCGCGGGACAAGCAGAGGAGGATGGTGAGGAAAGCCTTCAGGAAACTGGCCAAGATGAAGAGGCTGAGGCAGGGCCGGGAGCGCATGGAGACCCTGGTGCACCTGATCGTCTCTCAGGACCACACGATCCGCCAGCAGCTGAGCCGGCTGCGGGAGCTGGACGGCGACATCGAGCGGTTCGAGGGCCGCCTGCACTCGGAGCGGGTCCAGAGCGACGGGCAGAACTACGTGCAGGAGACCTACCTGCTGGAGGGCGGGCAGCTCCAGGAGTACCTCGAGAGGAGCGAGGCGGTTTGCCGGCTCGAGGAGGATCTCGAACGGCATCGCGAGGCCGTCCGGAGGCTGAGCGAGGAGCTCGAGCTGGAGCGCGAGCAGCTGTGCGGCGGCGGCGGCGACGACAACAACAGCGGCCCCGAGCGGCCGGAGGAGGGCAGCTCGGACAGTCTCCAGGGCGAGCTGGAGAGGAGCGCGTGCTGCGCGCGGCAGCTCGGCCGGAGTCTCGCGGACGTGCAGCGCAGGCTGCAGCAGCAGGAAGCCGCGCTGCGCGAGAAGGCGGAGGAATACGAGCGCCTGGCGCGGCAGCTGGAGTGCCTGAGCCTCGCCGAGGAGGCGGACGGCGGTGGCGGTGGTGGTGGTGAAGCGCCTGGCCCCTGCCAGGGCTCGACCAAGGGCTCCGTCAAATCTCCGCCTGAGAGCGGCTTCACCCTTTCGGAGGTGAACGACACCGACTCGGACACGGGGATCAGCTCCACTCACAGCCAGGACTCCGAATCGCCCTGTGTCGGGGTGTTTCCCGTTCCGCAAAACTATCTCTGAATCGTCCTTTGGTTAAATTCTGTTTCCTTGTGAACAAACCAGGAGGGACAGTAACGCCCCTGGGACACGACGCATGAAAGCTCCTACATATCTTTCAGATGTTAGGTGCGTCTTTTCAAAAGAAATGCCTTTAATATGTGACTTTAAATTAAATGCAGTTCGGAAATTTGTACCGTTCTGTTTCGAGGGAAGGTGAGACTTGCCCAACTGTAAACCGTTAGTAGTATTCTGAAACAAAAACAGAAATTGCTGGGAAAGTATTCAGAAATTCTGTCATTGGGTTGGTACAGCTGGTCACACATACTGGGGACAGAGATTACACAAACTCCTAAACAACCAGATAATTCCTGAACAAATTCTTCCCACCTTTTTTACGTTAAAAACAAAACAAAAAGCACTGCTAATAAAAGACAAGTGATTTACTTGTAGAAAACACAACTCTCATTCTGTTATTCAAGGAATTAGCCAACACCATTGCAGAGCAAGCGCAAATACCCCACACTGCAGTTATCCCCATTCAGAACGTCTGAAGCAACAGACTGAGAAGATTGCACTGTGAACGCACCTTTTCGTAATGCAGATCAAGGAATCTCTGGTTGTTTAGGGTGATAATAGTTTGAAGATTAATCTACAAACAGTACACCCCTCCTAACTGCACAGTTTCCTCTTACACACTTTATCTTGGACAAACACATTCAGAGGTTTGTCTAAGTTCACTGCACTACAAAATATTTTATATCATGTAACTAATGATTAATATAAGCAGAAGTGGGCTGGTGTTTCTTAGTCACAGTAAAATAAATGATTTATATTAACATGCTGACTTCTTTTTGGCTAGGTACCAAAAATGAACAATAAGTTGCTAAGACTCATTTTACTGAACAATTTAACAAATTGACATTTACTAAAGTGGGAGCAAGGTGATTATTTTGCACTGTGTGTATAGACTGTAATATGAATTGACAGGATTTTCCAGAACAAAATAAAAATGAACACTGGAAATTTTTTTAAGTGATCTCTGTAAAAACATGGATTTCACATTCACATTAGAAAGTGAAATAGAGCGTAGAACATATTATGACACACCAATAAAAATCTTATTGGTTTAAATGGGACCATTTTCCATTTTTTACAGTATTAACATCCAAAGTAAGTCTGCTGCATCTTTACCACCTGAACACAAAGCACCAGTTGTGCTGAGACCAGAAAGCAAAAGTAGGCAAAACTGCATGGTAGTAACAGACCAGGACAGCTTTCTTCTTCTTGGAATCAGTTTAACTCAAATCCTTTATTCCTGGAATTGTGTCAACCAGACTTTCCCTTGCTCATAACACCCAGGTAATGTTTAACAGTATATTGATGATGAAACTAGAGATTCCTGCCTTAACTGATTTCAGAATTTTTAAGAATGTCTAATTGTGACTATATCCATTGTATGCTGTCCTATTGTAAATCTTAACTGAAGTTGTGGTCTGAGATATGTAGCCATTTTATAGGCTCAGGTGGTTTCATTCCTTGTGAATATCTATCTTCACAATACCTTTTCCTGGATGAGCTACAACCAATACGAAAGAGCCCACTAATCCTTTAAGAATGCAGAGGAGCAGCCACACAACAGACTTGAGTACTCTGCTTGACATCCAACCAGTTTTCAGTGTTTCAGGGCTCCAAACAGCAAGATTGTCTGAGGTGGAGTATAAACCCAACACTGCCACTGTTGCAGTGAATGTTGATGATAGTGCTGTACTTGATGTCACCCTTTTATTTGGAGTTCATGTTCTAGTCTCCACTGACCAGGGCTGAATTGAATAGCATTAAAACCTTTCAGCCTTACTTTGGAGCAATGCTTCTGTTCGTCAAAGACTCAATTCTCCGATTTATGAGTAATGATTCAGATTTCCTCTATATACTGATATAAATGTGTGCATGTGTTTTAAATGGCAGCATTGCTGTTAAAAACCAGTAATTATTGCCCATCCCTAATTGTCCATGGAAGAAGTCAGTAGTGAGCACTCCCTTGACAATGACTTGCCAGGCCATTTTAGAGGCCAATGAAAAGCCAATCATCCTGCTGTGACATTGAGTCACATGTAGACCATACTAAGAAGGAAGAGCAGATTTCCTAAAGGACATTAATGAGCCATGGGTTGCTATGCTAATCCAATCATTTTTGAATGCTATCTTATCCTAAGTTTATTTAATTAATTGAATTTAAATACCCAGTTGCATAAAAGTTGCAAGCACTTAGTCTGACAGTTTGATTAAAATTGATCAATCTTCTGACGTGTTTAACTATACTAGTTCCCTTAGGAATTCAGTAGAAAGATTGTTGCTAAGGTATTTAATGTTCTTCAGTGGACGTATAAGGATGTATTTTGCAGAATTCGCTTAAAATGTGGGTAACAACATAAATTAAACAAACAAAATTTATTTCATTTGCCTTACTTCTTACAACCCATAGGCTCTGAAATTTTACGTTCATTATCATCGAAAGGTTAAAAGCAAGATATTAGGGATGCTAGAAATCTGAGGTAAAAACAGAAGATGCTGAAGGTACATAGCAGGCGTGACATCACCTGTGTGAGAGAAACAGTGAATGCTTTGAGTCCAAAGACTCTCCTCTTCCATTCCAAAGGAGAGTCTTTGGTTACCAAATGTTGGCTCTGTTTCTCTGTCCGCAGATACTGCCAGACCTGCCATCTCCAGCATTTTGTATTTAGATTACTTGCCTTATTCTTTCAGTGTTGGTAGTGACCTGCACTGTTTGGCCTTCACTTAGATGTCTCAATTTAACGAAAAACTACACCAGCAGTCTCTGTGACTGATATTACTGCACAAAAAGCCACCTTATTATTAATTGTCAAAAATATAGAGCTCACATGTGAATGAGATCGATGCAGGTCTCTGTTGTCAACAGCTAATTGACATTTTTCTTGACAACTGTCATCACCACCTATTTCCAGTAAATAGAATGTTGTATGCTGGAAAATGCAAGGAGAACATAAACTGGCAAATTACAATAAACATGTTTTAAAGTTGTTGCCAGCTTTCATAATGCATTAACTGATTTGTTAAGTTGCTCCACCTCTGCATTGTACAGTAGGAAAAATGCATTGTATATTGTTCATAGGTCTCCTGGTCTACTTCCAAATAATTATGCATGAAATGTGCCAAATGATTTCAAGAACGGTTATATTGAATCTATGGTGACACAGCAGTCAAGTCTATAGTTTGTTTTCCACGTTGGGAGATGATAAAACATATACTCAACAATATATTTCTGAGTTCTTTTTTATGATCTCTTTCATACTCAAGATGAAATTTTGTAATTCTTAAACAATAATCGTGGATTATGAAAATTTTCAGCCAAACAATTAACATAGATGGTCAGTGTGTTCCAGTATCTCTCAATTCACTTTGTCTCGATTGTAAAGAAATAGTTTTCAACAATAAAGTGGCAAAAATCTAATGCATTGACATAAGGTTTAAATAAGCTTCATTTGCAATGGACTTCAAAGTGATGGAATGTGCATTGTATTTGTCAAAAAGGTCATTTCAGTAATCTCAAAGGACAAACTATAGCAAATTTGAGAATATCTTTTGTACTAGCTAGTTACTAGTGCTTGTTTTTCCAGTTGACATGAAGCTTGCACTTCAAATGCATATTTGAATTTTTCTGTTATGGGTAAGCCAACATTTTGAACAAATTATTGCACATTAAACTTAAAATGACAATCGCCTTCCTTTCAGAGTTATAAATTTATTACACTAGACACAAGTTTCTGTAACAAATTTCTGGTTCATCTTAACAACTTCCTGTACTTAATATATTTGTTCATTGACATGCTCCAGAAAAGTTATTATGTTAAAGGAAAATTGATCATCTTGCTTAACATTCTGTGCCAACAACAGGGTAATAAAATGGAAAGGTTGTTAAGATGTTAATAAAATATTTTTGAAAGCTTCCTTGGAGCATTTTCATGCTACACCCTGTGAAGAAATCAATTATAATAAGTATGACTTTGTTGTAAAAGTTAATCAAACTCTTTTTGTATTCTGTTATTTCATGAAAATGTTACCTCCTTTTATACTTTTGTGATCAGTTTATTGAGATTTAGTTTGTACACTTGTGTAATTATGTTGCTGACTAAACAAAAATAAAACCTTCAAATAGATAAAGCATGATTTTCAGCTGTCTTTTCAATAATGTACAATGTAATTGTTCTATTATCTTTTATTGATCCATATCTTAGAAAAATGATTGTTCATATTCATTTGTTCTAAATTGTGAAATGGCAGCTGAATAAATCACCACTTATTGATACGTTCATTTTTGTTATCCTCTTATCCAAGAACAAAGAACAGTAGAGCACAGGGACATGTCCTTCAGCCCACTAAGCCTATGCCAACTCATGATATCTTTCTAAACTAAAAACCTTGAGCAATTTCACAAAAATTCTGCATAACAAAAAAAAAATGACATTTCCAGGAAATATTCTTGAAGAAAACAAATTGTTTATTGAACTTTATTCCTCTCACAACTATACGTCTAAAACTTGAAATGTTATACTGTGATTATTTACTTAATTACTCTTTGTTGAGCCATACGTGCAAACTAGCTGCCATATTTTGTGCATTATCACAGTGACTTATTGTAAGCAAAATCAATCTCAAAACCATCAACTCAAAGCATAGTCTTGAATTGATTGGAATTATTGTTTCATTGTTTTGCCTAACAATTTCTAACTTTGTATATATTTTAAAATAAACAAAACACTTCTTGTGAGATAACAAGGTGTAGAGCTGGATGAACACAGCAGGCCAAGCAGCATCAGAGGAGCAGGAAGGCTGAC